ATTCTGTCTCTACTTGAATCAAACCCAAAAAATTAATTTATTAAAAACAGGAGTAAGAATTTTATCCGCTCCTGTTATCATCATTACATTTAGTTACTATCTTGTTTTTTTTCCTTTTGCTTAAAAAGATTAATTCGGATGTCTATCCTAAACCCATAATTGGTGCTAGAAAGAGAGATTTTTTTAAACGAAACGAAACGAGTATAAATTTGTGCGCTTTCAATATTGATATACGATAATCTGCAGTTTTACTTGAAGTTTGCATGTAAAAGCATATATGTATAGTATGTCCTAATAAGCAATTGGAAGAACGGTAAATGCCATGACATGCTCGTACCTACAAACTCATCAACTGGGCATCATTGGTGGCGCAAAACTGTTGCCATTGACATTAGCGAATTTGGATTGCAACAAATCACTATGAATAATATTTATTATTTGCACAGGTGTGCGTTTGTGTGTGTGTGTGTGTAGGTATTGTCAGGTGTTACAATAAGAGCTTATTGTGCGATGCGGAACGAGTAGCGTGGTTAGAGAGATTAAGCTGGGAGGAAAGCTTTTCTGTCTGCGTACTAGCAAGCAGCATGTATGCATGTGAAAGCAGCCAATTAATGGTTGTTGTTGGTGGCAGTGAGGTACAAACTCTTGCTTGCTTAACTGCATTTATATGCTTATCGAAGTAGATATGTACATGGGTATGTATGTATTTTAGCTATTAAGCTGCTTTATTGTTTTGAGGAAGATCTAGTATGATTCATACCTCTCACAATGGCACAGCACTGTAAATAATTGCATATAAACATGTCTATATCTCCTTTACTCAGGATAAGATAGTATACTGAGTTTAAGCTTTTTAAATGATATTTACGTATTTTAACGTTTTATCTGAAATAATTGACGTATTGGATGAGTGCATAAGTTCGTGCCCGATTTCAAGTGCAAACTAAAATTGAAATTTTTTGAAGAAAGCGCTTTTATTAATCAATTATGTATTCGCCATCATGTTCGGCAATCCACTCCCAACGTTCAACCAATTTACGGATGCCTGATTCATAGAAATCGCGCGGTTTTTCGATCCAAAAAAGGCTCGTTTTTGATCCGTCGAAGCAAAGAAATTGCTGTTGACATACGGTCCACTTTGTTTTTTTCACTCAACGGATGTGGCACCCATGTATCGAGCTTCAAAGTGTACCCAACCTTTTTTCAACGACCAGACGCAGTTGATTTGTTGACATTCAATTCACTGGCGACCTCTTCCGTCGAAATACGTGAGTTATTCGCAAGTAAAGTCCTTAGAATATCGTCATCAAGCTCAGAAGGCCGTCCACTGCGAGGTTGATCTTCGAGGTAAAAATCTCAAAAACGATATTTCGCGAACCATTTCTTTACTGTGCGGAGTGCTGGAGCACGGTCCAAATAAACTTCGCGAATATCTTTAGTTGCAGCGCCTACTGTTTTTCCTTTGCGGAATTCATACAACATAATATGACGCATATGATCTTTTTCGTTGTCCATCTTCCATGCGTCTTTTCACTAAGCACCTCAAATCAAATGAAGTTATTTTATGCTTGATTTACCATTCGGACTGTCACCTTTCCAACGATATATAATATGTATATATTTCTTTCACGAGCGCCATTATTCGAACGGCATCCAGCGGAATCGGGCACGAACTTATGCACTCATCCAATAAATCTTACCGTATGCCTACAATCGAATCTTGCAATGAGCTTCCTGCCAGGGACCTGTGATTTCAGTTTATTAGCTTAGGCATAAGAGAACCACTGACTCATAAAAAAAAACCGGGCAAAGACTGGTAGGAAAATATTAAACTAAAAAACAACTATTTGGACATCATTTCTTTGTAATTAGAAATCGTTACCCCTCTGTTAATTCCAACGTTAACTCACGTTAACTCTGCAAAAGCTCAAACAAACCGAAGCAGAAAAAAAAACAAAAAAAACTTGTCTTTTTACGAAAACATAATTCGAAACAAATTCAAAGTACACAAAAAGTTTTAACATTTCATAAAAGTTCGCAGAAATTAAGTAGATGTCAAGCAAATTAATACCAATCACCCGCGAAATCACACTCGAACCCTTTAAACGCCAATACGTATAGCGTGCTGATGGAAAGCGGCGACCCAGCAACTAACAAACACGTCGCCATTTCTCACGGTCACAACAATGTCGTACACTTTTACCTGTATATAGCCTATCTTTAGGCGCGCTTGAGCATTTCACTTAGCTGTCTAATGTAATAATTGAGTTTAGACGGTCATTCACATGGCACTTTGTCCTTGTGTGCATGTATGTGTGTGTGTGTGTGTGTGTCTGTTTGCAAGTGTAAGTAAAAGTCTTGCCTTGACTCGGTATTAAATGCGCTACTTAACTACTCAACGGCGCAGTGAAAAGAGTGAAGAAGCATAAAGAAATAATAATGATAGAAATAAAAGTAAAGAAAATTTCACAAAGTTTAGTTGATTGCAAGCCCCACCGCTTATGCCCCCACATCATGTAACAGTCGTCTAGTCATTGCCAATTTTATTCCCCCTCACACTTTGCTGCTATTCACCCGCTGCCAGGCCATTTATTTACCCGTTTTGACAGTTAAAGCTAATTAATTATATTTGCGTTGCGCTTTATTCTATTTTCTTATTTTATATTTTCTCCCGATCTTTTCACACCACTCGCTTATGCAATAAGTTGAAGGCGCCCACTTGAGTTTATAGCTTGCACTTACATACATACGAGTATATGTAGATGAACACTTTTTTTCCTGCTCTCGTAATGACTTTGATGCGTCAAAGTTGGCTGTGACGTTCTGCCGCTCAAATAGCAACTCGAAAATTGCCTGCTTGACTGTCTATCATGGTGGCTTAATTGAATGACAGACATACAAGTGGATACAGTTTTGCTAATAAAGAAGATATGAATATGCAAAGTGGGTAGAGGGGTTACTGGTTGCTGGTTGCTAGTTAAGAGAAGAGCGTGAAAAAATAAATTGTTTAAATTGTGTTAAGGTAATTGAAGAAAATCCGCTGAATGGAAGAAGAGAGTATGGCAAATTTTATTTAATCGTCGTGAATTAAACTAATTTGAAATGTGGCTAGAGTGTATGGTGAGGATAAGATATATTATGTTGAAATTTTCACTAGCGTCGTTACATTCGGCTAAGTAGCTTTTTGAATATCCACATATGCTTGAGGAGGACCTGGCTAGAATATACAAGAGGGGAAAAGTGTTCAAAGTAAACGCACTAAATAAAATATTACGGTAGCTGGCAAAACTATTTCTGGCCTTTTTTTCTATTCTTCTTTTATTTAGCAATCCACGATTAAAACGACCAACGTTTTCCTTACATAATACCATTCAAAGTTGAGTGATTTTAAGTTAATTGTATGTAATATATTTGAAAATTATATGATTGATGCTTGTATAAAAATATCTGTATAAATTATATACCAAACTGATTGTGCATTAAGATTTCCTCTCAAGCTTCTAAAAAAGCTTGAGCTTCTCAACCCACACAGAGTACCTCAGTTTCACTGAAAAGTCCTGCACTGCTAGTTTATCGAACATTGACACCCAAGAATTATCTTGAACAATCGATAATTTCAGAGATAAACATACAAACACGTTTCGAGACGTGAATTTCGTGCTTTTCCGTGTGTTTGAAATAGAATCGTTTCGGTTTTAACGCTTCGTGTTTGGACTTTTAAGGGAAATCGTAAAATTATTACTGTTCAGAACATCATAATTTCAAATATACTTTGGAGCAGTTGGTACCTCAGTAGGTTTACTTATGTTTCACTCAACTAACGCTACGTGGGAGACACCTAACGAAGTCTATTCTCTCTCCTCGTTTTCTGTCATCTTTTTCTCCTTTCTTTGTGCATTCACCAAGCGATCTGTTTCATAAACTTTTATGGCTGAATATTTTTCATTCAGAGATGCTTAGCTAATAAAACGAAAACATTTCAATTTGTTGATATGAAAAATAAACTTAACGAAATGATTTTTTTTCGCTTCGACGACATATTTTCGTAACGAAATGCAACTGTTAATGTTGAGACCGCACAAGCGCATCATTAATGATAGCTATGCTATTAACAGCGCCCATCAACTTTAATATTTAACATTATCAGTAAACGATTTGACATTAATGGCAGTATTTGCTTTCGGATAAAAACGAAATAAAATTTATTTTGGTTATTGCTTAAACGAAATTGAAATTTCTTTATTAACGTGAAATTTCATCTAATCTTCTTGAGAAGATATAGTGAGCTTAGTCCTGTTCCTCAGCGATTGGCTTTCGGATCCTGCTAAACGCTCGATAGCTACATTCTTGTAAAGGCTTGTAAACAATTAAACTGTATTCCAATAAATTTTTTATCTCAATCACTTTGTGTTTGCTTAAAAATTCTTAATTCTCTAATCATTGAATTTATACAGAAATTTTCACAATGAAGGTATATGTTTACATGTGTATATGTCAGTAAGTGAGTTTATATTAAAAATGTATTTTTATGCATTTAATTCAGTAGCCGCAATAGTCGTTGAAAGCGCGCAAACTGCATTTATGTTTGTTTGCAAATATATATTTATATTAACCTTACGATTTATTGCACTTCATATTTGTCTACATATGTGTGTGTACGGGTGTTTCAATTTATTAAAATTTTTTGTCTATACTTCATTCGCCGCATTGGAATAAAAAAAAAATATTTGCATTAATTTCCATTTTTTATTTATGTATAAATTTATTTGTTCTTAATAACGCACACAGATTTTTATTAAAAATTATTTTTATTTTCATTATAACTATTACTATTATTACTATTATTATTTAAAATGGTTTTTATGTCTTCATCAATATATTTCACTCAATTGAAAATGTGTGGAATTTTCACCGCAAATCGCGGGTTTTACATATACAGATGTATGTTATAATCCTCTTTACTCAATCATATAATTCTCTCTTTCGCTTTCCATTTGCAGATGGCGAAATCCTACGTGTACTGGTCAACACTTCAGCGCAAATTAAATGTGATGTCGGCTCCAGTTTGCCAGACGATAAAGTTTTACTGGTCGTTTGGTATAAGAATAATCTTCCAATATACAGGTGAGTACTTTGATTGTGATTTTGACATTTCGATTTTTATTTCCAGAATTCATTTAATTAAATTGATTTCTACTTAATTTTTACTACTCATGACTTTAGCAGTAAAATACTTTAAAATTTTCTAGATTTTTCTAATTTCAATAAGCAGTTAAATCAACTAATCAAATTAAGGTGAAAAGGGAAGAATAAACTAACTATATATATGAAGGTTTTCCAATGAGAGTGATATGATTTCTTTGAAAAAAAAAACTCATTTTGTGTTAAGGGAATCCAAATGTATTTTGTTTCATGTGAAGTACAATCGATTCAATTAAGTTCTGAATATAACAAGTGGCCCACACGACTACTGTAACAGGCACAAATTCGATGAACCCAATTTTTGAGCACTTTTTCCACGCTCAATATTGATTTTTCAGACTTGAAAAGGGTCTGGTTTATTGAACCAGAATTTGTTAAGTTCAACTTCTTCCAATTGTGGGCATTAAGAGTTGGTTATCATCGATCTATATCGCTATCCAATGACAGCAACGGTGCTACCAGCTTGATTTCCAAAGAAATTCGTACCGATGATTCCATTAGACCGAACTCGACACAAAACTGTTAGTTTAGGTGAATACGTTGATTGTTCATGATGAATTCGGCAATTTTATTTATTTACTGCACCACTCAGATGAAAGTGAGCATCACCAGAGAAGATGATATTCCGATAAGAAGATGAAATGTTATCGTTCTATCTTGCCATGATAAAATTCTAAACATTACTGATTACAATGAAGAAAATAGAAAACAAATCATCCTTTTTGGAAAACCCTTTATATTATTGGAAAAGTTTCTTTGAATCCATATTGTGTGTAACAAGTACTAAGACGATGAAAGCACTTGGCTATATTAAAGATTATTATGATTAATATGATTCTAATAGATATAATTAATTAATTAAAAATATGCAGTTAAATCTTTTAAATAAATTATTCCTAAAGAAACAATTAATTTTAGTTTAGTTATTTTAACAAGGATATTTAAATGTAAAAACTCCTTAAAAATCCATTTTGATGAACAGTTTTAAGGAAATACCTTAAAGCACCGTAAAAATTAAATTCAGAAAACAAATCACATAAGAAATAACTCGAATAATCTCGAAATTATGGAGATACTGAAAATTTTCCTGGGTTTCAGCAATTTCGTCTGCTAAAATTTTGTTAAACTGTAACCTAATTAGAATAGTTTTATATACCCTAAAATATATTTTTGTGCACAAAATGCATACAGCAAAATAATATCCATCTTTTACAGTTATGATACCCGGGGTGCCCATGCGGGGACGCCATCACATTGGCGGGATGAAGAGGTGCTCGAGGATCGCGCGGTATTTCGCACACATAAAGAGCCAGCCGAATTGATAATAAATCCAGTAAAGGTAAATTAATTTCAATTTTAATTTAATTTAATTTTCGTAAAGCACAAAGAAAAAAAATCTAAAATAAAAAAAAAAATTTTTGTTTAATTTTTCGGAAAAATTAAAAAAGAATTATTAAAATACCCTTTGTATCAAATTCACATTTAATTGAATTTTTTCTTAATGATATATTAATAAAACATTTTTTCTCTCTTTTTGGTATTAACAGGAAAAAGATGCAGGGAATTTTCGTTGTAGAGTAGATTTCAAGCTTTCGCAGACGAGGAATAGCAATGTCAATTTGGAAGTTGTGGGTAAGTAACACAAAGACACAAGCCAGAATTTCAGAATTCGCGAATCATAACTTCTTTTAACTGAAAACTTAAATATGTAGGGTAATCCATTTTGTGGTTTCAAAAGTACAGGGCCTTATTTTTACATCTGTAAAACTTCAAACTTAACAGCCAAACCAAATATATTTGATTTAAACTAAAAGCCAGGGATTTACGAAAATAGAACTGTTAAATCCTACTAAAAAAAAGCTAAAAGTGGTCCCGTTTCGTATTTTACGGTGCACATAATTGGTTACAGATATTGTTAGCCTTTGTTTTGCTCATTCCACTTCTAACATCGCTGCTGTAAGTGAAAGTGTAGCCGAAGATCTGAAGGTGTATATTTCTCAACGTTATCAGGAATTGGGACACACACAAGTACGTGGCTTCCTTTTTTACTTAGAGTCATACCAACATCCATATATAGTTAAGCTCACACAACAATTGAAGCCAGCTTATCACTCAGAACGCCGTACATACGCCGATTAGGTGTTTGAACAACCAGCAGTGAGCGGCGATTTTCCAAACAGAATTATCTACAGTGACGGGGTACATTTCTCACTCGGTGGATACGTAAATAAGCAGAATTGTCGTCATTTGGGCTCCGAAGATCCTAAAATAATTGAAAAGAGTCCATCACAACTAAAAACCTTACTGCCCGGACTTTACTTCTTTGAAACCGACAACAGCGAGAACGTCACTGTCAATTCGAAGCGTTATAGTCGCAGTCCGGAAATCGGATATCATATTTTTTTTGCCTTCAGTTGAAGAACACCACTTGGACAATATGTAGTTTTAACAAGCTGGCGCCACATGCTACACAACACTAGTGCGAGAAAAGCTTCCCAGAGATTGTGAGATTGCACACTGTTGTACTTTTTGTGTAGAGCCACGTGAAAGATCGTATTACTGCGGATAAACCGTCAGCTCTTGAGTATTTGAAAACCAGCATTCGTCAAGTTATGGCTGAGATACCGGCCGGAACGAAACTTTGCGAAAATTCGCAAGGCAGTCATATAAATAATTTAATATTTCACATATAAAGGCAACGATTTAAACCTTATAATATTAAAATTTGACTCACGTTTATTTTCAAAACCGCAACATCGATAACATAAGATTTTCAATTAAGTCCCAAACGGGTCACAATATTGTATTGTACAGCGAACGTATGCAGTTTTTGAAATGAGTTTTATGCCAACAATTTGAGCTTTGAATAGTTATTTTTTAATTCTAATCATCGTTTACACATTTCCATTTCAGTGCCTCCACAGCAGCCAACAATTTTCAACGAACGCCGCATGAAACTTGATTCACGCGCTGGTCCGTATGAAGAAGGCGGCAGTCTGGAAGTGACATGTCTCGTATTTGGCGGTAAATTATTTACAGTACTGTTATTGAATATTTAATTACGTATAGTAAAAACAACATGAATAAAAGATGAAACATGATTTTTGGCGGTTTTTGAAAACGCAAATATGCAGGAAATTTTGATAAATATTTATTGTCTTCGACGGAAAAGAAATTTATTAATTATTATCATGTACTCGTATACATCTTCGGCACACAAATATCACCCATTCTTTAAGTATTTGTCAACAATTTGAGGTGCAAATAAAATTCTCATAATACTTTTTTTGGAAAAATGGAATAAAATAAATAAAATCATAATGAAAATATATTTTTTGTCTGCTAATCTTTGATCAAATCATTCTCAAATTCATGCAAATCTATGTATTTCAAGTTCTCAAGATGATTTTTAAAAACCGGCATATCTAAGTTACCGATTGATTGACTATAACTTTGCCAGATTGTTTCTATGATTCCTGGAATGGCGTAAAATTGACGCTGCAGACAGACAGTTAACATCTGCCGTCTGGAGAGCGAGTTATTTCTATCGAGTTTTGTGCATATTATTTTTACAATTGGAGTTAAGGACTAACCAGTTTGAAAGCAAAGTCTCAAAGCAAATTGGAGATATTGCCCCAATGTATGGCCCTACCCTAGAATATCCGAATGCTAATTAGACAATATATTTTATATGGATTGCGGGTAATTTTGGCCTCCTTTTGAACCACGAACTCATACCGTGCATATGTATATGAACCGCGCACTGGTGAATTACATACACATATGTACATATGTGCATTTTATTATAAAATTATGTAGTAATAAAGTGGGTAACAACCCGTTTACACGTTCTTTCCATGAATTTCAGTTAGTTATCGCATGAAACGACAAAAGTAATTAAACTAAGTTAATTTTCAGTTATTCTTGCGTGTTGTAATAAATGTGTGTGGGCATTAAAAGTAAGTATAAGTATGTTATATTGTACATATCATACATATGTACATACTCAATGAACACACAAGTTAGAAACTGCGCTTAGACAGAAAAGGATTCAAAAGAAGAAATTTGTTGGCAATATCTGTTGTTCTCTTCACATGTTCTGTATTCAATGCATTGAGAGGAAATGTATAAAAAATTTCTGGTATCGGCAATCGGATATTCAAAATTCTAGAATCACCAATGACTAGTGACACCTTGCCAATCGCCAATTGAATGTTGTGAATTAATTTTTAAAAAGTGAAATCGAGTCAAAATCATTGCGCGAAGCTCTCTTTAATCAAATTCATTTTGACTTTTGATATATAATACGATACGATATCTCCATGTTGAAAAGCCCAGTTTGTAAAAGTCTGATGGAATGATGGAAGATAAACAAGGTATACTACAAATTCAAACTAGTCGCATTCGGGTCACAGTTAGTATATTTTCCAGTAGGGATAATAAATAATTAATTTGCGTACGTATCCATAACGAAATATGAACCCCTTATGAGGAATTATATGAGTAAATGCATACATACAAGTGCCTATGTATATGCAGTTATAAACAACATAAAGTAAACAATAAAGACACTTCACATAAAAGTATTAGTGGCACTTGAGAGCGCTGCTTAAATTGAATTAATATGCGTATAAATAAAAATTTTATACATATGCATGAATGTAAGTTATGTTTATATACCCGTATGCATTGAAAGTTTGACGCTTATGCGAATAATTGCATATACATTCGTGTTGCTAATTATCAAATATACGAGTATATACATACGTAATTATGTATGTATGTAGTGAAGTAGGACTTGAGTGCTTTAAGCTTTTAATTCCTAAGACACCTTTAGGTGTCCCTAGGTGTGTCGTCGCTTACGGTGGGTGAAAGATTCGATTAACCCGAAGAACATTTCACAGAAATTCAGTAAATTATTATTTTAATAAATATAAAGTAATATTAAAAACAGCTTGTTAACTAGTAATTTTGTGAATATAAGTAATTTTTAAATATTTAACAAATCAAAAACTGGCTATACTTTATTTTCGCCCTTTTATTTTTACTTCCTTCAACCGTTTTCTGATCTTCGTTTTACTTAACAAACTGGAGTTTAATTTTTTAACGAACTTCTTAAAGGATTTGTGTTTCATAAGACTCAGTAGTTGAATCCCTTAATCCTTCTTTTTATCCAAATGTGCTCCAATATTTTTTTTATTTCTATTAGGTTTCAGCAGTTGAAGAATTTATGATCCAAAACCCAAACAAAAAAAAAGTATCAATAAAAATGTAAATTTTATACCACTAGAAATATTTACAGCTCCGTCTTTGAATAATATTGTCAACTAGAGATTATTTCACGAATAATTTGAATTCGATTTTGATTTGACATGAGTCACTGTTCAATTTCTATCTTTTCTTTAAAATACAGTTTTCCATACCCTTACTACTCTTTGAAGTTGTCTTCAAAGCTGTACGGGGGTTGCCTTTTACATTTCGGAATTTGGCATCTGAATACTTTATCGTTAAGTTTGATATTCCCTGCAAGGAAAAATACTAGTTGCTAGCCAGAAGCCAACTGGTATGCAGTTTTCATACTTTACTTGTTCATTTTGCATCTATTGACTGATTATGTGCTAGCTTTATACTAGTTATATACCAGTTCAATTAGCAACGTTGAGTTTCGTCAAAAAAAAAAAATTAAAAATAAAAGAAAATGAAATAAAAATCAATTGGTTTGTTATCGTTATGCTGTAGACAATAACGAAATCTGCTTAGTTTAATGGAACTTTTAATGAAATAAAATTTTTATACTAGATTATCTTCTTCCTGCAGGGTTTATGTTGTCATAAATATGCAGAACCTATTGATAGACGTGCGCTATTTGTGCTGGTGACAGTAACTTAAATTAATCATCACAGCCAGAAAATTTATTTAAAACCCGAACATTATCACACGATTATTTTTTTATGACTTTAGACGTGGATTAACTCACAAGCCACAGCGCATCGCTGAAATTTATTCGATTTTTGATCAATAAGTTACGTCATGGGCCAGTGCTTGTTGATAGTATGAGATCGCAGATCACTCCAAGAGGAATTTCGTGAATGTATTGACGATGTGCATACATTGAGCATACATCCAATATTGCATAAGCATTTGACTGTAAAAACACCTGCTTACGTTTGAACCCACACACTTTGTCAATCACTCAAAACCAGGCTCGGCCGTTTGTTAAAGAGGATTATTAAAAAATACGATAGAGAAGCAATTAACAGCAGAATACTTTTTTTGGAAGAACTGTACATTGTGCAACCGTACACCTAGATTAATGCAAAACAGTGAATTCTGAGTGGTACACACCCCAATTTTCTTGCAAGTTGTCATTCAAAAAATCAAGAAAACTACGACAAATGCAAGCCTGCACACGTCGACTGAGAAAACTGTAGTCTTAAGCACCCAATGCATCGATTTAATCAATCAGCCACCGTACAGTCTTTGTTGGTAACCGAATGACTTCTTTTTATTCCCGTGAGTTAGAAATAAACTGAAAGGTTAAAGTCTTTTGACACCTGAAGCGTCTAGAATGCATGTTTTGGATATACCTCATATTCAGAGTGACAAAACTCAAAAAATGTAGAGTTCTGAATCGAGAGAATTTTGTAAAACAATAAAGAGATTTTCTGCCTTCTGACTTCTAATTCCAAAATATAAAATCAAGCCCTCGTACATTGTAAATATCAAATATGGGTTAACAAAGGCTTACCTTTCTACATTTCGCAGAGAGATGCCAGCACCTGACATTAGTAAAAATATAGCAAGAGTAGCAACTTCAGTCAAAATAAAACCATTATCTTTATATTACACTATTTTGCTTAATCTGTAAATTTCTTCGGAGAAAATACTACAAACTCTAAAAATCCTTTTGATATTCCAAATCAAAGCTTTGTGAAAATACTTTCTTGCTTATCAGCGATCATTAGCCGAAAAGAAAAAAAGAAACAGAAACAATTTCTTGCACTTTTAGCAAAACAAACAACCAAATCTATGTGAATACACTTAGAACAGCGAGTTACGTGTTACTACTAAAAGCAATCAAGTTAACGCAAATATGCGCCTAGAAGTATGCCACCAACACGAAGAAAACACGCCTGCCCATTTGCATTCAACAATACGCAGATACATATCCACGTATGTATGTGTGTATGGATGTGTGTAACTATTAATGGCTAAAGTAGGGCAGTAGAGCAGGCGAAACAAATTGTTTGCACAATTGTGCAACAAAAGCTAAAACTGTAAAATAAGAAGAAAAAAAGTGAAAAACAAAAAAAAAAAATCCTGCAATAACAAAAACATTTATTATTTATGCAGCAGCGCTACAAAACGTACATATGAACATATAAATCGTAAGCGAAACCCAGCTAAAAATGTTTATGCGCTTTTAGTGTGCAACAGTTTAAAATATCTGGGCTGGAATTTGGATTCATTTTTAATTTTTTTTTTACTTATTTTGTTATACTGAAAAAGTAGTATTTTTTCATTAATACATTCACGTGGATTGTGAAATACGTTAGTTATTGTTATGTGTTGTTTGCTATAAAGGGCGGTCATCAACGCGTTGAAAATTCGGGGGAAAAATCTCGCCTGCGAAAGAATTTTTGGATGGGAGCTTATCGGCCATCAGTTGTATTTGGTCGTTTAGAGTTTTCAAATTCCTCAAACATTGGTGGCACATGACCATAACTATGGGAAAGTCAATGCATCCTTTATATGGGACTGTTTGGTGCGACATGTAGACCGACGTCATCAAAGCTCTTTGAAAACGGGGACGAAGCTACAATTGCCAACAATGTGAATCTTTAAAGATCATTACTCTTGTAATGTAGAATAGAATGACATGACAGACATGGACGATGGATTTTTTTAAAAAGATTTTTATTTCATGCGTAGTGACGTTTGTATTTAGAACCAGTATGCAAACCTATTACTTCCGCCAGAGTAGCATGTACTGATAGCCACTCGACTTCACTCTTTGTATAACT